TTTAACAGAAAAAAAGCAAATATAGGTTGTCTATTCACTCTAATGATAGTGTCCTTGGCTGTGCAGAAGCTTTTTAATTTGATCAGGTCCCATTTTTTTTTTTTTTTTGCTGCTGCCACCATTGAACGTAAAATGGAAGCGTGAAGTCATGGAAATGTGAAGACTTTGTTTTTTTTTGTTTTTTTTTTGTGGCTATTGTCGTCTAATCTTATTTGGGTTTTTACACAGTTCAATTAGACATAATGTGAAATAAAACCTGATCTTAAAACTCCAAAACTGGAGACATTCGAGTTTAAGAAACAGATACACTAATAGCTTTTGAGAAAGAAAAACATTGGCATTGGTTTCAGAAATCAAGTTAATATTCTTTTGTATATGAGACTTAAATTTTCATTAAGTGGTCCTATCATTTACTTAGTTTCTAAACATGACATTTGATATCTTATTTCCCATGATAATATGGGTAAAAGTCTTTTTCTACATTTAAAAAAATAATTTTTAATTATTTTACTTTTGAAAACTAGGAATTAAGTTAGCCGTTTAATTTTTTTTCTAATACATTAGTTCGTGTAGGGTTTTGTATGTGTGCTGTCTTGCTTTAAAGAAATAACGTCTTCATTATTTTCCTTGTTGATGTCTTTTGCTGGAAAAGACCAAGAAAAAGCCATCAGACAGGGTACCCATATCAAAGGCTTTATACTCCAGTGGTGGTTCTCTTTAATTGCTTAGATATGACTTCCTTCATAGCCCTACTTAGGGTAACATGTGGGCAAACATTTGAATATTCTTGGTCTTCCATTTTTAAAGACACAAGGCCAAGATCAAAGTTCATGTTTTGTAAAATTCGTGAAATCTTAACTTGAACTAACTCGGTTCAGCTTCACGTAAGTCATGTCTGACCTGATGTTAGCTATAATCAGTTTTGAGCTTTAAGAATAGTTGCTATTGCTTGAGTTCTGAATGTATGAGAAAACTTCTGTTTATATGTAATTCGAATTTAGGTTATTTTAAATCCATGATTAACATACATTCCCTTTTAAAATTATGATTTAATTGCTGCAAGAGATTTATTTTTGTTAACTATGGAAAATTTTTTCATAGAATTTTTTTCAAGTTTATTTTTTGTGTGCTTCATTGGGAACTGTTTTTGTTTATATACATTGTATGCGCTCAAAATAGTTTTTTAAAAATCCAGAAGAGATTTGAAACTATACAGTATGTATAACTGTTACGATCTTTATGTGTCTTATTTTCACTTTACATTTTAAATGCCAGGCCTCATAAAAATTGCTGAACATCATTAATTGCATCTTAATTAGAACCATTTGTTCTCCTCCATATCTTTGACCTTCTAAATTTTTGATTTTAAAGAAAATCCTTGCACTACAACCTTTTCATGAAATGCAAGCTTCTCACATTGAAGGTTTTGCATTGGAAGAAATGCTACTGGTTTTTGAAAAGCAAAGCTTAATTAATAGATTTATTAGCTTTTCTTGAGACAGCTTTTCTCTGTGTCCTCATTACTCTGCTCTGTGTGTTACTATAATTTGTGAAATACTGACTGAGCCCTTCACTTATCTTTTCTAAAGCAGCACCTTTGGACACCTCATTCTGGGAAGCCTGCTCAAGTCATAGTAAAGGACACACACGTTTTTGTGGGGAGAAGTGGTAAAAATGGAGTTTTGTCTTAATTACATGAAACTAAGCTTTAAAATATTTTATAACAAATTATTTGAGCTGCATAATCTAAACATGTCAAACGTTCAGTGGGACTATTTTTCTATATGTATATGTGGCTGTAGGTCATAACATTTCAGTTTATAATATAAATTGTTATTTCAGTTTATAAGCTATATCTCAGAGGAGACTAGCTCTTTTGAGAATACATAATTTAAAGTTTTAGACTGAAGTAAAACACAACATACGTAATAGTGTAAATTAGCTATATTTGAGGGCTATATGGCAGTAAAACTGCTAGTGCCAGTTTTCTTGTTTGCCTATTACACATTTTTGATTTTTGTTTTGTATTCTGAACATTATTTTAGAGATCATATTTTTTTTTGTCTTTTTTTTTTTTTTTTTCTATTTCACAGACATCCAAGAGCAGAAGAGATCATTTGTTTGTTCAATTGCATTTAGAGTCGGTTTGGGAATAAATATCTTCTAAAAAGAGATTTATCTTAAAAATAAAAGTCCTGAAAAAATTAGTTTATCAAGAGTTTATAAAGTCAAATATTCAATAGGCATAGACTGGAATAGATAAATTTGTGGAAATCATATCCTTCTAGTATACCCGTATAACTTCAATATTACACACAAGCAACACTGAGAGAATGCCATCAGCTTTGTTCCCTATCAGTTTTCTTGGATTTTCTTTTTACATCTTTGGGAACAACTGCTTTAAACATTTGATTAATCAGTATACCTGTCAAGATTAGGTGTTTGCTTTCTGAAGGAATGTTCCAATGAGGTGATTGGAGAGGTTATTTTCTACCTATAACTTGTATATGTCCCATACCTCTTGGGCATACTTTGTCTATGGAAAAATATTTTGACCTTTAGGTACATTTTGGGCCGGTAGTCAAATAATCCTAGAGCCGATATAAAAGTCTTAGAATAATTTGTTTGCCTTTTATACCCGTTTTGAAAGCCTTTACCATTTTTGTCAGGTAATTTTTCCCAAGCCGTGGATATAATCTATTCAAACATGTTTATGCTGTCCATTCTGTTTTTAAATTGAAAAAAATGTTAAAAGTGTTTATGAAGAAAAGTTTAAATAAAATATTTTTAATCTTTAAAATATACTTTATCTTTGATTATTTATTATTTTTATATAATCCATCACTTTCAAAGTCACTAATGACTTGATTAGCAGTATACATTTTGTTTTCCTTCAACATGCCAACAAAGTGCCATGAAAATGATTTCTACCAATGCTTTTAGCCACAGATTCAAATGAGAGCATTAGAGTGAAATTATTTATACTCTTATGTGCAATGGAAATTTTATAATGAAGCCAAGTAATTAAAGTTCCACTAGCAGTTTTGCAGAATGAAAATATAGAACTGAGAAAAAGCATTTACAAGCCTCAAGCCTTAGTTTGGTGTGATTTTTAGATTTCCGTTAGCATTTTTGATTCACTGGTCTTAAAGGCATTTCTGAAATTCAGATATAGGCCAAGGCCTTGGGTGTACATAGGCACATGTGTACCTTCTTTCAAATGGACTCCTAAGAAACCTCAGCAGGATTCCCAGGCACCTAGATCCTGGCCTCAAGCCACCTTTCCAGCCTCTTTCTCCCCATCACTTCCTACACTCCATTCTGTTGTGGTCTTTCTGTGTTCCTTTCCAGCCTAAAATTACTTGCCTTTCTTTCCCCTGTCCTCCTTGTCAAAATCCACTTATTTTGCAAAGCCCAACT